GAAGTCGCGGCGAGATCGCCTGCGCAGAACGGATCCTAGGTTCCCACCGCGCGCGGCATCCTCCTGGCCAGGTGTGCTCTTTCACCTGGGGAGGCCGGGACACCAGGTGACTCAGCGGGTACCCCCTGACAAGGCCAGAACGACCCTGAATGCCCTTGTTGAATAAACGTTCCGCCAAACCCGTGAGCCTGCGTGGCCCTTTGTCACCAAAGGGAGTGTGTACGGGCGCCCCCAAGCTCCCATGCCCCCGGTTCTGACCCTGGGCCCGTACACTATGGGAGGATTGCATCCTGGTGACTCCCAGGTCCTGAGACTAGGTGAGGCGTCTCAACCAACGCCTGACTCCGCGGTGCCACGCTGTGTTTGCTGCGCGAACGATGGAGGAATTCCGGAGAACTGTCTCACAAATAAGGATTGACTGTGCCACCGATTGTGCCTCGCATTTAGTCCACTCAACAGCCCCTGAGCTGGCGCCATTGTCTGCCTGTCCTCCTCCCCCTCCTCTTCCTTTCCTCCTTCTCCTCTTCCCACTCTCCTCTCCCTCCTCCTCTCATCCTATCTGATCCCTATCACAAGACAATGACTGCTCTGCGGATCAGTACTGTCACTTTTCAAGTCAACGTTGTCCCATTTCTGACTATCCTTATTGCCACACCAGAAGATATGAGGAGGCATGGTCTCTCCTTGCGGTTGTCAACCCCAAGAATTAATAGTTATGAGTATACATTTCAAGGTATCTGGGACAATTGCAATTGATGTGACAAGGTCTCAGACACTGGGTGCAAGGTTACATTCGTATTTGAAGGAAAAATGAAATTTCCAGTAGAAGACAATGGAAGTGAAGTAATTTTTCCCCATCCAGGTTCATGGATTCCCTGAATTATCCCCACAGCCTCCAGGTTAAAACCACAAAGTAATTGTCAACCAGCATTTAAAATTAAAGTAGAGAAGAGAAAGATGTCAGCTTATATCTCACACATACAGGTGGGGATCAGTTAGGAAATCTTTGCCTCGGTCTAAGGTTCCAAGCCCAGACTTGACAGCCAGACCTCCTCAAGTTAAACCCCAAGTCTATCATGTACTGTGTGACCTAGGCTGAGCCACTGTTCTCTGTGCCTCAGTTTTCTCCTTTTGCAAATGGTGATAATGGAAGTCCTGTCCTTATAGGGCTGCTGTGAGCAGGGAGTTCAGGTGGGATGGGGCCTGGCACTTGGCACGATCACTGTTTGGCTGTTGCAGATGGATAGATGTGTGCATCCTCTGTGTCATAACATAGAATGTGTTTCTTCCTGAGGGTCGTGGTCCAACATGTTTGGAAGCCTTGTCCCTGGAGGATTCTGGGACTCAGACCTTGGCAAACGCTCGTGTGGGACTCCGGGCTTGGGACAGGGGATACCAAGAATGTGCAAGGTCTAGGGTCTATACTAGTTTCCCGTTGCTGCTATAACTATTTACCACACTTCAAGGAATGCTGCCCTTGGCTATCTCTGGCTCTCACCTTTGTCTATGTTGATCCCTCCACCTAGAATGTCCTCTTCCCCTTATCTCCACCTGGCCAGTTCTCACTCAGCCTTTAGGACTTAGCTCAGATATTTCCTCCTCCAGGAAGACTTCCCTGAAGCACACCTCCACCACCCCACCTCGGGGAAGGTACCTATGCATAACACCCTGCATGTATGCCAATTAACACAGATGCCACAACCATCTGCCACCATCTGCTTCTGCATTCATCCCCCATGGGGTGCCCTTCAGCCGGACAACTGGCTTCTTCTTTATACCCCCAGTGCTTAGGAGAGCCTGGCATGGGAGACGTTTCGGCAAATGTGTGTTGAGTGAGTGAATGAGTGAATGAATGAATGAGTGAATGACTTCCCTGAGGCCCCTTGCACCATCAGAGAAGTTGGGAACTGAGCCTAGGCCAGCATAGGCCAGCTGGCTGGGCTTGGGGCAGGGAGTCGAGGGTCCGGCATCCTTAGAGCCAAGAATCCTCAACGATTGTGGGATCAGCCGAGGTGTGCATGGGCAGGTCCTACACCCGCAGAAGAATCAACAGGGCTTGGAGTGTCAGACCCACCTCCTGTCTCATCCTGCAGCTTGGCTCACTGAGCTCCACCCCAGAGGCCTCATCCCTCATAAACTCAGAGGGCTTTGGTCGTACCCCAGATCAAGAACCACACCTGGACGTATTGTTCGTGCAGAAACTTTATTTATTGGATTCCGATTCAGGGTCTCACCTCAGTGCCATCAGCCCACCACCAGCCAGGTGTCCTCAACAGGGTGACCCCACGTCCCATCCCTGGGGAACCAGGAGCACTCACTTCCCTGTGGAGTTTTGTGCTTGTGCTGATTCAAGATCTATTTTAGGATCACCCCACTTAAAACCGAGGCCCGAGATGCCGAGGAGCTTATACTGGCCAAAGACTTCCTTGAGCACCTGTCCGGGCTGCTCAGAATAGACGAGGAAGCTGCGGCCGTCTTCTTTCCCAAATGCAGCCCAGCGCCCAATGTCGGTGTATATGGCCAGGTACCGGAGGTAAATCTTGTACATGCCGTACAGCCCTATAATGTGTTCTTCTGGCCACAGGTTGAATTCCTGGGCTTGCCCGCCTGAGACACCATATGTTTCGCTCCAGGAGGATCCATATTTCACCTGGATACTGGGAGAAAGGTGAAGCTTTGAATACCCCAGATCCAGGGTGACTCACCACTCTCCAGGTCCTCTGTCCCCTGTACCACCCCTCCCCCCCACCCACTGGCAAGGAGAGCAACCCTGTCACTGCAGTACAAGTCCCTGAGCCCATGGCTTGGGGTTCCTGAGACACATGCTGGTGTCAAACTCCTGCTCTCCTCTGCCGCTTTTAGGCTCTGTGGTCTTGGGCTTGTTTCCCAGCCCCGCTGGGACTCAGTTTCTTCATCTGAAAAGTGGGAGTGATTGTTGGGAGTAGGCACTGAAGTCATCCCTAAAGAGAGCTCCACACAGTGCCCAGTCACCATGATCCTCCGGTGGTGCCGGCAGCCATCGTTGCTCAGAGTAGGGAGCTGTCCCCTGGCCAAGCTTGGGCTTTCTGAGCCCAAGTCACTCCAAGTAGATCAGGTTGCAGGCCTGAGAGGCAGGTGACTTCCCACACTTACCTGGGGGAGTTCCACTAGCTCCACCCATCTGGACTCACCTGTGTGTCCTTGGTGCCTATCCTAGAGCCCCCTCCTCCACCTTGCCCTGCCCGTACCCTGTCCCCTTTGGTGCCAGCTCCTCTGTCCCATTCTCTCTCCCAGGTCCCTGGGACCCCATAAGTGCAGAGCAAAGATTTGCCCCAGGCTTTGAGCAAGGACATCACGCCAACATTAGGGGAACATCGCTGGTCTTTCTGCCTGTACACACTTTTGGCGACTCATGTTCAATCAGTGGTCCACTGACCCTCACTTCTTTTCCTCTTTGACCCTAACCTCCCCCCCCTGATTTTCCCATAGGAATTCTCAGACTGAGAGGCCGTTTTTAGTTGAGTTGGGTTTGGGTTGAAAGGAGAAAGTAGGGAGAAACATTATTTACCCCCTTTTTGAGATCAACCCAGGAAGCAATGACTGGACTTACAGGTGGAGATAGAAAGAAGTGATGTTAGTGTGCAGGAGAGGAGGTGGCTGAGGCAAAGGGACAAATGGAAAGGGGATGGCTGGTGGCTTCATGGCTCCAAGGACTCAACTGGCCTCAAAGAGTCATCAAGCGCCCAGTGAAGATGTTGGAGAAGAGGCGGTAAGCCCCCCTCTCCAAGTTCCCGAGACTGTGGAATGAATTGGGACACAGGGACAGGGTTCTGTGCCCTGCTCCTACTAACCTCTTAAATATGCCTATAGGACTTATAGACACCCGAATCCCAGTTATATCATTTTCATTGCCTGCAGGTGTACTGAAATACGTTCCTCCTCCATTCCCAAACATCTCTAGATGGATAAAAGAATCAGGTGAAAAAACAACAACACACATAGTAATATATAGGTTATCTTTGCCCAGAACTGGATGTAGCCCCCCAGGCAGATGGGACGGTCTTGAGACTAGTTAGTCTGTGACAAGGGTTGGACCTAGACTCTGGTCTCCTCATTGAAGGGGCTAAGGGTGGCCACAAGGGGCATGGGCTGGAGGGAGGCAGACCCAGCCAGACTTACCATGTGCCCAGCAGATGGTGCTCCAAAGGAAGGTGAGGGTCAGCCACAGCAGCATGGCTTTTGGCTGGTGAGTCCTAAGGCTACTGGAGAGAAGGGACAGGCCACCTGACTCTCAGAGAGGGGCCCTGCCTAACTTTGCTGGGCCCCATCCATGAGAGGGGAGCACCGCCTACCTGGCCGGGAAAATCTTGTCACCCAGTCCTGGCACTGGGAGTCTTGCACCTGGGTGCCCTCCACCTGGCCCTTTATACCCTCTGAAGGCCCTGTGGGCCCCCATCCAGAAGGAAGGAGCAGAGGCCACCAGGGGGACAGGAAGGAGCTGATCGGTGGGGGCTCTTCTTGGGGGAATACCCAGAGCCATCCTGGGGGAGGCTCCCGGACATGCTATGTTTGTTGTCTTGGACCCAAGGCCTATACAAACAAAAGGAGAAGTGATACGGATTTCACTGTCACCTCTGGGCCTTTCTCCTCAGCTCCTGAACTAGATCTTGACTTCAAAGGTGTGGGGGGGAATGTTTGCTGAGAGCCCTTCTCAGGTTGGCCAGACAGGTTTCAACCCCATGGGGGGGCTGTAGGTCGAATGTCCACAGAAGGTCCATGAGGAGCAGGGATCCCGTCTTGTGCACAACTGAGTTCAAGACCTCATTGAGGCCTGGAGTCCTGTGGGCATTCAGGAGCCCAGGTCAAGCTCCCAGCTAACCCTCAGAGAGCTGGAGTGGGCAGATCAGTTCTGTGTGTCTGGTGCGAGGTGGAAGAGATACTCCAGGACTTCCAGGGTCTGTCACTTGGAAGGTGTCTGTGATCTTTCCTATGTGTCAGGTCTGGGAGTAGGCTAAGGATGAGTCAGCTTTAACGGGTTATAGGAAGACCAACAGCAAAGGTGCCATGACAGAAGGTAGAGGATTGGGGAGAGGTGAGCCTTCAGACCAGTCCTTCCAAAGGCACCTGGGGCCAGACCGAGGGGTCAGATTTTATCTGGAAGGTAACAGTGTAATTCTTAAGGGTTCTGGTGTAGCAAGTTCAGGCTTTCTGTGAAGACTTGGAGCTAAGGCTGTCCACAGGGCCTCGCCAACCTTTGAGAAGAGCTGTGGGGTCACGACTGTCAAGATAGGGGCTAATTGTGGGTGTGGGTGCTGGAGCCAGATCAGGTCCAAACCTTTTCTTTCCTACTTGCTAGTCATGCTATTTGGGGAGCTTATGTCACCTCTGTGTCCCTCGAGTATTTCATCTGATATATGTGGATAACAGTAGAAACTCCTCACGGGATGTTATGAGAATTCAACAAGATGCTTCTCCAGCTAGGGGTCTGAACACCAAAGACTTTATGTCATGTGGACAGGTATACAAGGTTTTTCTTTGCAGCATCCTTTGAAAATCACAGATTAGAAACAACAGAACTTGTCTATCTAGAGGTGACCCATTAGATAAATGATGTTGTCACCCATACAGCAGAATACTACACAGGTGTGAAGTATTCTTGCTTCTGCTGCACTGACACATTCCCCAAGACACAGGCCACTGGAGACATGAGGGTTTGGAGTGTCCCCACTTGGCTACAAGGATAAAGGGTGCAAAGAATGGACTCACGTGTGCACAGACTTGCTCTGGGAGTGCTGACTCACCAGGAGCTGGGAACACTGGTTTCATCTGGATGGCAGTGCTGGGAGAACTGGAGAATGGGGTGGAGGCCTTGTTTAACTGGCACCTCTACTACCTACACCAGGTACCTAGGGCAGAGGTTAGCTACTATGGCCTGCAGCCGAAGCCAACCCTCTGCCTGTTTTTGCACAGTTCATGAGCTAAGAACACTTTTTACATTTTTCAAATACTTAGGAAAAATTAAAAAAAAGAATAGCATTTTGTAACACACAAACATTCTATGAAATTCCAGTGCCATCACCCACCAATAAAGTGTTACTCATTTGCATAGTGTCTGGGGCTGCTTTCAACTACAGGCAGAGAGCTAAGTCCTTGTGACAGCGACTTTAAAACCTAGAAAACCTAAACTGTTTACTCTCTGGCCCTTCACCCACAAAGTCAGCGGACCCCTGGTGATTCCTATGCCTTGGAACAGTCGCAGCCCTGTCCATGGTGCTGGACACACGGGGCTGGGAGGCCGGGAGGGGGTCCCATTTAACAAACACAACCGAGAGGCGCTGTATCCTGAAAACTGTGCCCTTGCCTCTGAATCTGCGCTGGTCTCCCTGGAGAGACTCCTCGGGGCTCAGGCCTCCCAACCCCCAGGCCCCAGAAACCTCCTGCTGAAAGGAGGTGGAAGAGGCCTAGGACCTCACAAGCACAGCCCTAGGAGACAGGGGCTGGCAGGTTGCACAAAGAGTCTTGTGTTCCTTCCCCAGCCCAGCCTGAGGGTACTTTTGCAAGTTTTGCTGCCAATTCAGTCATCTTCTTCCCACCTCCAGGCTGGCAGGGTTTGGCGCCCAGAGGAGAGTCTGTATGGGCTGGGACTCCAGGAAGCACTACCTGGGGTGGGAGTTGGAGGAAGAGACAGGTTTCTGGTCTGAGCAAAGAGAAGATAACTGAACTTGTCCAGAAGCATACATGAAGCACATTTTCATAGAGCAATGAGCATAATTATAATGGACGCACATGCACACACATGCGTTTGCACACGGATGCACCCTCACACACACACACACACATTTGCCCACCACCACCATGCACAGGAGCTTGCACATGCTCTCCATGTGCATAAACTCGTGCACGCCTGTGTAGGAGGCCCTGATCCTGGAGGAGACCTGCCTCCCCTGTCACTGTGGTCTGGTTCTGGCCCTGAGCCTGAGGGAAACTCAACACAGGTCCTTTGTCCCTCGGGATCAGAGCTCCCATGAGGGGATTTACTAGACATTTACAAGGCCATAATCCCCTCCACGGGCGCGCCCCTGACCTCATTCTGCCAGGAGCCCCAAACAGTAGGGCCTTCTTCCTGCAGAGGTGGGTGCTGGCCTGGCTGGTTTGATTTTGGGGGGTTGGGTCAGGACTGGCTCCCCTGATCTCCCTGCCCTCTGAGTGTGGGGTTTAGGCAGCCTGAGGCATAGCAGACAAGAGGGGCTGCATTCCCTGCCCACTTATCTGGCCAGGCCTCCCTGCCACCCTATTCGGGAAGCCCTCAGTCCACCTTGGAGGTCGGAACTGTGTCACTGGTTCAGGTCTCAGGGGTAAGCCTGGCCTGGCTGAGACTCCCAGGGCAAAGTGGGAGAGCGGGCTCCTTCATGTGGCCTCATTTGATCCCTGGGGCCCCAGAAATCAGAGGAAAGAACCTGATGGATGGGGGAGGGGAGTGACCTTTGTGGCCTTTGCTGGGCTTTGTGTCTTGCCCTTGAGTGACTGCCAGGTGGAAGGCCCACGCTAAGGGGGGAGCACTTTGGTTTTGCACTTCTGAACTCAACTTTCTCCCACTCATTTACTTACTCACTCATTCAAATTCTTAATTGGATGCTGAGCTCTAAGCTAAGCATTTACCTCCAGTGAAACTCAATAATTTTCCCAGAGAAACTCAGTACTTTTCTTGGAAAACCAGACCACCCAACCACACATTTTATCTAATCTTTTATGTAATTGAAATTCCATTAGTGCAAGTGTTGAAAAGAAAATGGATTCTACCCAAGTGTGAAATTGAGGGAAACAGGGGATCCAGGTTCTGCTTTCCCAAGGCTGCCCTGGCATGTGTACTCGTTACCTGCTGTATTAGTCAGTTGGGGCTGCTGTAACAAATACCATAGACTGGAGGACTTAAACGAGAAACTGTATCCTCCCTGAAGTTCCTAGAACCCCTGCTCCCAGCCCCACTGAGGCCCCTATCCCCATTTACAGAACCCCATCTGCTTCCCCACTTTGAGAAGCTCCACCACATCTCTGAGGCCCAGCATTCTTAGAGAGTTATTCTCTTTGTAAATATCTCCTTGTTGTTTTCTCGAGTTGGGGGGTGTCTTAGAGAAGCAGGCATGTGGGTCCAGGCTTCCATCCTGACCCAGACCCTAGCCATCTTTCCATCTGCCTGTCCTTGAACTTACTTTTCCAAAAAGATTTCTGGAACAATGTTCAAACGAAACTAGGGTTATTTCCAGATGATTGGATTTAGGACATTTTTCTACTTTTCTGGTTTTTTTATTGCTTCAATTTTTCTAAAGATTGCACCAATTTTATAAAAACAAAGTCATTATGCTTTCAATAACTAAGATGTATTTTTAAACTTACAAGTTCACAAAGGATATAAAAGTGGAAGTTCTCAGTGTCAGGAACACTTCAGGAAATGGGTCCCTCTTACTTTGCTGGGGGAGTGGACTGGGGACCTTCTCATGGTTTAAAAACCCATAAAAACATGAAGCCCATTTGACTAAAGGTATTGTTTTTAACTTACAACAACTCAAATATCCAACACCATGAGATGGGTTCAAGTTTGGTTCCAGTAATTTTCAAAAGTTTTTTCTTATGCTCCTTTCTAATTAGAGTACATTAATTGTATAATCATCGTAAAGCTATTTTTACTTTGCAAAATAGTCTGGTTATAAAATGACAGAACCATTTTCCCCATTACCTTAAACAGCAGTCCAGGGCAGTGGCATAATCAGATTGAGACAGACAGGGAACATGCAAATTCTTCTTCAAGTCACGATGCACTTCTCATGTTAAGAGGAAAACAAGCCTCCTTTGTAGTCAGATGATCTGGATACGTGGCTTTGCATCTGGCCACAGACCCAGAAAGGGGGAGACCTCCTGGGGGTGGAGCGAAAGCGAGACACCAGTGAAGGACTCTGTGGAGAGAGGCTGCTCAGCCTGGAGACTGAGAATGGGGTAATGGGAACGAGGGGGCAAGGGTCTGGGGTCATCATGACATAAATTGCAAATAAGCATTGCTTTAGGCACCTTAAGTTACCTTCATTTTCACATACCTGCTTTATTTAGTAAACATCCAATGAGGACCCAGCACTTCCTGCCATTTTCTAACCAGGAGATGGGCACCTGGACCGCTTAGGCAATGAGGTCTCATCTCACCAGCACCTCTTGGGGCACAAGGCAGGGACAGGTGCTGAAAGGAATGCGATTTTACTGAAGAAGACTCCACCTGAGAAGATGGAGGATGTCTGATGAGGGGATCCTATGAGAAGAAGCAACCAAGGGGGCCGGCCGAGTGGTGCGTTGGTTAAGAGTTGACTTGGGACGCCAGCTCTGAGCAGCAGGGTCCCTGTTCAGGTCCCACATGAGAGCCAGTTATGCTGTGCCCTCTACAGCTAAGATGGTGAACAACAGCTCGACCTGGAGCTGGGCTGTCATGAGTCACCAGCGATGGCATAGGCTGCAGTGGGGTGACAATGGGCTGCCATAAGCTACCGTGAGTGCCGGCAGCCAGCGTGAGCGGCTGTCCAATGGCCGGCGAGCGACTGCCTCACCCGGGAAGAGCGTTATGATAATACCAACATGGGCCAGTGAAGCGACGTCCTCCACAACTAGACTGAAGACCAAAAGGAGAGCAACTTGGGGGCCGGCCGAGTGGCTCAGTTGGTTAAGAGCTCGCTCAAGAGTTTGAGCTCTGAGCAACAGCAGTTCGAGTCCAGCCCGAGCTGAGCAGCCGCTGAGCTGCCAACAGGTAGCAGGATGGCTCAGCTAAAAACAAAAAAACAAAAACAAACAAACAAAAGGAGAGCAACTTGTCTGTTCCCCTTCCCCGATTCCCCAACGCTGTTCCCCTCCAATTCCCCTAATAAAATCTAAAAAAAAAAAAGCAACCAAGGGAACCGCCAAGATCCCACTTGGCCCTAGACACCATGGGACAGCATCTCACAAGTCCCTTATGAAATTCCCCCAACACCAGGGTTCCATGGTTAAGTAAGTGTGCAGAATGCACACTATATTTCCTCTTACACATTCCTGATGCATTTTAGCATATCAAAGTCATTGAAAAGTCCTGCAACAAGAAAACAATTTCACTTTTCCAAAAGTCTGTGACCATAAAATCTTTTTACAAATACAGTCCACTAACATCTCTTGGACATAACATTCTGTCGAAACCACTACTGAAGAGGAACCATGGGTGAACAGCAGGGCTGGGCTGTCCCAGGATCAGTCTGGAGAAGGGGAAGTAAAATGGACATCTTAGCTCAGCTCTCATGCTGGGACCTCAGGAGTTGGGAGCTTTCTTCTTCTCAAAGTCCAGCCAGATGAACTCAGTTGATAATGATAATAATGATGTTAGCAGCTAGCATATGCATAGTGCTTACTCTATGCCAAGTATGGTTCTAAGCCCCTGATGTATTAACTCATTTCATTCTCACAACAGTCTATAGGGTATGTACAAATTTTTAGATATGAAAAACTAAGTTGAACTCTCATTTTTTTTTAAAGATTGTTATTGGGGAATTGGGGGGATGGGAACAGCGCTGGGGAATTGGGGGAAGGGGAACAGACAAGTTTTGTTCTTCAGTCTAGTTGTGGAGGACGCCGCCTCACTGGCCCAAGTTGGCAGCATCATTGCGCTCTTCCCGGGTGAGGCAGATCAGCTGCCGCCTTCTGGACGGCCGCTCATTGCGGCTGCTGTCCGCTCACGCTGGCTGCTGGCTACACACGGTAGCCCATGGCAACCCACTGCCACAGGGGCTGCAGCCCACGCCGTCGCCGGCGACCCACGGCAGCCGAGCTCCAGGTTGAGCTGTCGTCCAGCATCTTAGCTGTGGAGGGCAGTGTCACTGGCCCTCGTATGTGGGATCTGAACCGGGGCCCTCTGGCGTCCCAAACCAGTTCCCAACCATCGCGCCACTCGGCCGGCACGAATTCTCATTTTTCGCTTGTGGAAATACAAAATTGATACAGCCACTTTGGAAAACAACAGTTAGATATGTTTCCCAGGCTGCTGTACAATTTGGGACACATCTAAATCCAGTTAATGCCCACAGGGCCATCCACAGAGTCTTCTGATGGCCTGAGAAGGACTGTTTCTTCAAATAAGAGAGGGTCTCCCTAGAATACAAAGGAATAGACCCACCTGTCTCTGAGGCTCTCCAGAGGTAGACGCTGAGGGGGATCAGGTGTGAGGGAGGGAGGGATAGGATGGGGTGGGGACAGCAGGATAGCTGGCTGTAGCCTGCTTCTCTTTTGGGGAGGCACAGCTGCAGGGTCCAGGGGATCCTGTGTGGAACAGGAGGCAGCCTGGCTGGGGTCAGAGCTGTCCTCACTCTGTGCACCAAGGGCAGACTCCTTTTCAGGTTCTGTCCCCAGGCACCCATCAGTGTTGATGTGGGATTTCCTCCCGGGGCCAGGAGGGGGTGCTGTCCCAATCTGTAGAGCAGCTGGGCAGGGGCAGAGCCCTGTAACCCCTGGTGTGTGAGAGACCCCTACCTGCTAGGAGGGTCAGGGAGATGAGACCTTCAGAGGCCATCCCAGACTTTGTCCAGAGGGCAGCCCAAGAATCCTTGTTGGGCCAGAACCAGCCCCTGCCCTGCTCAACAGGGGAGCCTGGAGGAGCCACCCACCTAGGTCATCTCCCCTTTCCTGGTTAGACTCAGCCTTAAGGCAAGTGTGCCCCAGGCACCCAGAGAAGATGTAAGATACAAATGTTTCTTGGTTTTGTTCATTTATTTGTTGACTGGATGTTGCCCCACTGAGGAGGTGGTATTCCTGAGAGCAGGCCCAGGTCCGTCTGGGTTATTCTTGAGTCAACAGCTCCAGGAAGAGGGGATTGCACTCCCTACCCTACCCCACCTTCATCCTCACATTGGATCTGGGGCTCCTCAGTCTGGGTCCCACGTCCTCTCAGGCCCTGGGTGGGCCGGTCAGCTGTCTTCTTCTCAACCCCGCCTCATGCTATGTTGTGGGTACCCCCACTCAATGTAGCTGCCAGTCTGGGCCTGTCTGTCTTCCTGGTGCTCCTGGGCCGGGCCCCTGCTGGCTCCACAGGATCCCAGCCAGGCCAGGGGCTAGGTTTCAGTGCCAATCCCCAGGAAGGGATCAGTGCAAGGCTCTCATCCCCTCCTGGACACACAGTGTGCCCAAAGGCTGGGCCTGAGCAAACAGAGCTGGCGACATGACTGGGCCCTGCTTCCCACCTCCCAGGACCTTCCGCCTCCCTTCTGCTCCCCATCCTGAGGGTTGATTCTGGCCCCAAAGGGACCTTCCCTGTCTCCTCAGGACATTGAGGATCTCTAACATGACACTCCCCCCTCCCCCCAGCCAGCTGGGGTTGAGTGTGGTCACTTGGGACATCAGCCCCAGCTAGTTAGATTCCCATTCTGACACATCAGGGAGCTATATCCTTCTGTCCTCTATATCCTTCTCTATATCCTTCTGTCCTCAAGTCCCCTCTGAACCCCAAGCCCTCTCCCACTTCCACCTCATGTTAGGTCCCTGGTGGATCTGATGGGACCTCACTCTTCCCATCTGGGCTGGGTGAGCCTGGCTATTTCATGGCTAGAAGCTGGAGGGCATACTGCTTCATTTTGGACCTTGGTTTGTTGCATAGTCCCAACTCCTTCACCCTCAGGGTTTCTGATTGTCCTTTTTTTTCTTTCCTTAGAAACATGACTGATACACTTTATTTCTACCATCCTGAAATTTCTCGTGTATTCTAGTTCTTAGATCCATTCCATTTCACAGCCTAAAGCCTGCTGACTTACTGTTCTGATTGCTTTCTGGTCCTGCCACACTGTCACCTTTGACTCTCTTTTCAGGTCCCACTGGATAGATTCCACCGTTTTTCAATTCCGCATCTTCCTTTTCTGAGGTTTCACCCCGGACTTGCAAGAATGCAGGCTTACGTTATGTGCTATTTTTCTATTGCTGCTATAAAAAATTACCACACACACTCCGTGGCCTAAAGCAACGTACATTTATTGTCGTAGTTTGTAGGCTAGAATTCTGACAAGTATCTCACTGAGCTAAAATTAAGGTGTCAGCAGGGCTTTGTTCCTTTCTGGAGGCTCTAGAGGAGACTCCATTACCTCACCTTTTTCAGCTTGTAGAGGCCACCCACGGTCCTTGGCGTGTGGCCCTTCTTCTATCTTCAAAGCCAGCAATGGTGGGTCATGTCCTTCTCATATCACATCTCTCTGACTTCCTCTTCTGACTCCTTCTTCCAGTTTTGAGGACTCTTGTGATTACACTGGGCCCACCTGGACAATCCAGAAAAATCTCCCCATCTCATGTCTTTAACTTAATCACATCTGCAGAATCCCGAAGGGGTCAGTAGAGAAGTGCCCACACCAGCCTCCTTGTCCTCCAGGGTCCCAGTGCAGGGCTGCGTTCCTCATAGTTCCCAGAGGGCCCCAGCAAGACTGCACCTCAGTTGCCCACAACAGTAATCTTCTCGTTCAGGCAAATGTCATCGGGTTCTTCCTTTCCTGCCTCAGTTTCTCCACCCCTCACCAGGGCTTCTTGGTATCATCTTTCAAATAAACTACCTGCACCTCCGTCCTGGTCTCAGGTTGGCCTTTGGGGGAACTTCAGTAAGACCAGGACCTGGCATCTGTGTGATGGGGACACCAGCATGAGAACTGGGGGTGTTTCTTCACAGTACCCCCACTCCAGTCTTCCTATCCCGCACAGACCCTGGTGCTACTAATGTTCTTCCATAAATTATCTTACTGATTGCACTAACCTGAGTGGGTTCTGCCATTTGCAACCCAAGCCTGTATAGTGCAGATGGGTGGAGAAAGATTTAGGAGTTAGGGGATGGGCTTGGGGTGGACGACAGGACACGGGTTACCATCAGGGTGTCTAGGAAGCCACCTGAGTGCACAGAATTCTCTGCAAGGTATCAACTCGAACATGCAAACGTGTTTATTAGAAATGGGACAGTAAGGGAGTGGGCCTGGTGGAGCAGATGGTCCTGACTGTCAGGGGCTGTTAGACTCAGGCCAGCTGCAGAAATGGGGCAGTCTAGAGCAGGGGGAGGAGGAGGAGGAGGAGCAGCAGCAGCAGCAGCAGCAGCAGCAGCAGCCAGGTGTCTGACCTGTGAATGTCGCTGTGGGCCATCAGCATCCGGATCCAGTTGAAGTGCCTACTGACGTTGGTGTAGACACCGGGCCGGTTGGGCCTACCACAGCCCACTCCCCAACTCACGACTCCAACCTGATACCACAGCCCTTTCTTCTCGCAGGTCAAGGGTCCGCCTGAGTCACCCTGGGGAGCAGCATGGGTGAGCCCGGCCTGGGTCAGGGCAGGAAGGGTTAACAGAGAGGCTGGGAGAGCAGGAGGGGCAGTGGAGCTGGGCACACTGGATGCAAATCCTACACCTCTCCCTAGAAGCAATCAAGTCTCAGTTTCTGCATCTGCAAAGTGGGACCATAGTCTCTAACCCCCCGGGGTTGCCATGAGGACCAAATGAGGCATAAGGATATAAGTGGCTATCAAGCCTGGGGCTGAAGTGGTGGGAGGCTAGGACACACAAGGCCCTGGTTGGGGTGGGGAGGGACACTCACGAAGCAGGCATCCTTGCCGCCTTGCACATCACCAGCACAAATCATGTCTCCCCAGATGTCATAGCTGAAAATAGGCTGTGAGTAGAGGTTGTTACACATGGTGGTGTTTATGATGCCGACCTTCACTTCCTGGAGGGTGTAGGGAGATGGCAGATCTACACAGGAGTTGAGGAGACAGAGAAATATGGCATCCTGAGCCTTTCCTCTGCCATCTGGTTGGGAGGAATGGCATAAGCTACAGGCAAGGGGTGGGGGGTCCCTGGGGCACCCATAGTGCCTTGATGAGTCCTCTGCTCTAGACCAGCACCCAGCACCCAGCACATCACAGGTGATGAGCAATATCACAGAAGGACCCAGTGGTTGGACAGGCTGTTACAGCTCTTCCCTGAGACTAGGTTTCCCTATCTGCAGCATGCAGATGACAGCCCCTGTCTGAGCCAGTGGAAAGAGCCCTTAGCATGCACAGAGGGGAGGCTAACGCAGCTGGTGGTTTGGGATTAGCTGTAGCACCCATGTGCCTTAGTAGGTGGGACAGTCCATGGGAGGCTTGCTCTCCTCATGTATGCGGGTACTCCCAGGGCCTGAGCCGAGAGCTTTCCTACATGCTCTTAGGGCTCCTGCAGCACCCCCAGGATGTAGCACAATCATGATTCACTTTCATGTAAGGAAAGATACTAGGAGAGGGTGCAAAGATACTAGGGGAGGGTGCCCCCCCCTTTCATCCCCACCCCCACCCCTTCAAGCACCCGGGGAAATACCAGAGCTTGACACGAACCCGGGTCTGATTCCTAAGTCCAGGCCCTGGTCACCACCTTATCCTACAGAGGATGGTGACAACAATAACACCAAAAGCTGACATGTTGGTAAAGCCGCCTATCTGTCAGGCATTCTGCTAAACCCTATGCAGAACCACTCTATGAGGTGGGAACTGTTGTTACCCCATTTTACAGGTGAGCAAGCTGAGGCACAGTTAGATGAAATGCTTCCCCAAAGTCTGCCAGCTAGCACGTGGCAGAGCTAAGTTTTACACTAGGCAGGCGGACTCCAGAAGTTGCCTGCCATCTAGGAGAAGGAGGGTGGAGCCTGGGCCTGAGTGTGACCACCTGTCAGCCTTAGGCTGACTCACACCCTTTCAGCCCTTGGGGCCCAGGGAGGTCTTCAGCAGGGGCACGTTATCCAACCCTTCTAGGAGAAAGGAAAGGACCCCAACTCTAGAGGGAAACAGGTCTAGTGTTGACTTCTCTATCCCCCCTGCCAATTCCAGATGTGTGACCTTAGGGACACATTAACCCCTCTAGGCCAATGAGCTCTGGCTTCTCCACTGACTCCTGGGGCCTCGGGCAAGTTCCATACCCTTGTCAGCTTCCCCATCTGTAAAGCAGGTGTAAACAAAGTTCCCAGCCTCATTCACAGGTAAGCTCCAGAAGGAAGACAGACCATGGCCTGCTCACTCCTGAGTCCCTACAGCCTAGAACAGTGCTGGGCACACAGTGTGCATGCAGGAGCTGTCTCTGATATTATTACTGTTGTTAAGGGTGAGACAGGAATGGACCAGGCCAGGGAGCAGTGTAAAGGGCAGTCCAGGGGGAGGGACTATGCTCCATCTGTGGGACTCGAACCCCCTGGGCACTTGGGGAGAGGATGTGCCCAGCGGTTTCAGGGGATTCATGGTGAGGGATAAGCTGGTGGCAGCTCATGCCAGCCTAAGGACCCCAGTAGAGCTGAGGTTGGAGGGTGGCTTGAAATTTCGAGAAGAGCAAAATGGGCTCAGCATTCCAGGAGAGTAGGCCAAAGTGGATAGATAAAGAAGGTATGAAGGCAGGGCGGCCGGTTAGCTCAGGTGGTTAGAGCGCAGGCTCATAACACTAAGGTTGCCGGTTCAATTCCCACATGGGCCATGGAGCTGTGCCCTCCACAACTAGATTGAAGACAACTACTTGACTTGGAGCTGATGGGTCCTGGAAAAACATACTGTTCCCCAATACAATTTCTTTTAAACAAAACAAAAAAAAGAAGGTATGGAGGAGCCAGAGTGTGGAGGCTGGATGGCTGAGTGAGGGGTGAGCACTATGCTGAGGCTTTTCTGATATGGCCCAATCCACCTCCCCTGCCAACAACTGCAGGCTGGGAGTGCGGCCTGGGCCACGCTGACCTCCCTCTCACCTCTGGCTTCTGACTCTCACTTTCTGGTGGCGGGAGGGAAAGAGAAGGAGCTGAGTGTGGGTACCAAAGGTCCTGCCCTTTCTGAACAGGAAAGAGAAAAGCAGATGGGGAGAGAATGAATGAGCAGGCCCAAGGGGGGCGGGGTGACTATATACAGACCAGGGTGGGGGCTGTGCAGCTGGAACAGGGGGTAGAAGTTTCTCCCGTCCCATACCCACCACCTGTCCCCAGCCTCACCCTTATCTTCTTCGATGTTCCCCCAGCCGGTCACCCAGCAGTTACTCCGGTTCTGGAACTCAGTGGAAGAGGCCAGAACACAGATGGGCTGGATGTACTTATTGTAGGTAACAGAGGATGACAGCCTCAGCAGGGCAATGTCATAGGCGGAAGCCCCAAGGTACATGGGGCTCAGAATGATGTCCTCCACCTGGTAACGGTTGAAGTAGGCCTGCAGGTTCCATATAGATGGCATGGCAGACAACTCGCCAAACTGGACTGTCCACTCATAGGGGTCACTGTTCCTGGAAGGAAGGAGAGAGCAGTCAGGGGTCCTTAGTGGAGAGTGGACCACCTAAACACACCTGGGGCCCACTCCCTGCGGGGAGGCTGCCACGGGAGCTACTAGGGTTCCTCTTGGACATCATGAGTGGTGAGAGCCCAGAGAGGCAGCAACCAAAGCCCCAGAGCCTGGAGACTTGGGGGGTGAGTAGGGGGCAGGAGGGTGCCTACCCCTGTGGTCTGATCTGGCTACTCGCCCAGCCTATCACCTCCCAGAACTGTTCTAAAAAAAGAATAAGCAATCGCGCAGGTGCCAAAGTGGGACACTCAGCAGGGTGGAGTCAAAACAGCTTCTGGGGGCCACTGTCACCACAGGCCAGGCTCTGTGCCCAGCACTCACCCACCTCAGCTCATCCCTCCCACGTGGTACACCTCCACCGGAGGTGGGATGAGCAAGGTGAAAGCTGGTGGTACCATTGGGAGAGAACAGGAAGGAGCAAAAGAAAAGAAGGAGACATAAATGTGCGCGGGAATGTTCTGGAAGACCGTTCTTGAAAAAAATTAAACAGGGTTCCCTGCAAGGGCACCATTGGGAACTCGCGCGGATGCGACCAGCTGCGGTGAGGCCTGGGACTCATGAGAACACGAGGGTCACATGGGTCACATCCATATACAATGTGTGTGGTGCAGACCCAGGGCCTGGGGGCAGCCCTCCCCAGGCCTCAGACTCACTTTTCGAAGCAGTGCGCCGCGGAGAGCACCCAGCGCCGGTTGAGCAGGCTCGCTCCACAGGAGTGGAAACCCCATAGGCGCAGGCTGCCCTGCCACGGCCAGCGCCCACGCTCCGCATCCATTCCACCCATTACACGCGTGGGGATGGCCTGTTGGCCGCATGGCCCTGGGATGGACAGACGGACACGTGCCTCAACTGCAGGACAAAGATTCACCTGCCCGCCACCGCCTACCAAGGAGCACAAGGAAAGGGACTCCCGGGAAACCACACGAGTCCTGGGGTCGCGCCATCCAGGGAGAAAGGGACGCTGGGGGCCCTCCCCACCCGGTCAGCATGCGCCCGCCCCTCCCCCATGGGGCCCATCAGTTACATGCGAGCAACGATATGTTCTCGAAACCTGGGGCGAAAGAGATGAAAAGATAAGGCACCTTTTGCACTCCGGCCCAGGAGCCCTGAATAGGAAAGCGCGAGTCCTGGGCCTGTTACCTGGAAACAGCAGGTCCTCATCCTGCAACTCTGCGGGGAGGCGAGAAGGTGAGCTCTCCTTGGTCTCCATGAGCCCCATCCTACCCCCATCACCCTTACCGAGGTCGGCCGGCAGCTCCGGCTTGAGCTCACCCTGCATCTGTTGTTCCACTTGCGCCAACAGCTGCACCAGCAGCAGCACACCGACCTGAGCACCCATGGCCTCCTCTCCAGCCGCTTGGCGCCCCCTCTACTTCCGCCTGCTCCAGGGCCCTGCTGGGGCGCCCCCTGGGGGAGAGGGAGCGACGGGAACCCTGGCCGCCACCTTCTCCCACCTCGACCTCTCTGGGTCCAAGGGCTTGTGGGAACATCGGACCTCACAGCACCCCAGCTTTGAGCTTTTCTTGGGGCTGGGTCCCCAACCACACCCCTTGATATGGCCCAGGAACCAGTGCACCCAACAATCCCTTTCTTTGTCTGCAACCCTGAGACCCTGGCTGCCCTTTGCTGCCCCCCTTTCTACCCACTTCTCCTTCCAGGAAGGACGGAGGACCTGGGCCCCAGGCAGGACTCCCTGAAAGCACATTATGCCCCTCATTGAGTGTCCATTAGGGGCTAGTACTCTCAGGCTGAGCCAGGAAGGGAAGATCCCTTACAAGGCTTTCTTTGGAAAATGATGGCCTGGGGTCTTGTCCCCTCCTGAGCTAGCAGCCAGGTTAGTCCCCGCCTGCCCAGGCTGCCCCCTGGTGGCAGGCCCCAGCTTGTCTCATTACCTTCCTCTGGATTAAATCTTGAAAGTTGAGACTGTCTTTCATAAACGCTCTTGCTTGTGGTACCGAGTGGAAGGAAATCACCAAAATGCGAGAGACACCGCTAAGTTGCCCATCCCAATGTCCCTGTGACTAGTGACTCTCCGTATGGGGAGATGCAGGGGTCCTGGGAGGGCTGTTCCTGCTTGGTTGCCTCTGTGTATCTTGAATGCCACTAGAGATAGCATGGAATTCACAGAGATGAGTTACCCAGCATTGGATTCCGGGGGTCCTTTCAGGCAGGGGAGCCAGTCTGGACTCTCAGGTGGGGGCTACAGAGGGTGGAGGGTCCTTACCATGCTGCCAGTGGGGGGGGGTGAAGGCTGTTAAAGAGTGTGACCCCTTGATTCAGCCATGGGTGGGAGAGCCAAGCTCAGGGTGAGGGGTTGGGGATGTTGTAGGACAGAGGCTAAGGGTCTCAACCTGCTCCCCCCTCCTCCTGTCTCCTCTGCCCTGTGCAGTGAGTGGCCCACAGGGCCCCCCGGTTCACACACCCGCCTCGCCTCTGCTTGAGGTTTTAGCCCTGTGTTCCCTCCTCCAGCTGCCAGCTGACATATCTCCAACCAGTTCCCAAGTTTCCCTGGAGAGACGGGTTGGAGAAAGAGGGAGACAGAAGGAGAGCAAGCTCAGCCTGGCCTGAGCCTTTACTGTTCATGCCCGAGGTGATGTGGATTCACCCCCAGCCCTGCCCATGACCCTGAGGTTAACCCCCAGGCCTTCCATGACCCTGGGATTGACCTCCAGCCCTACTATGACCCCAGGACCTCCTAGATGTGTTGCTCTGTCTCCCACAGAGTCTAAAGACAGGGCTGCTTGGGACTGTAAGCTCAGGTAAGCCCTGGAGCCTGCAGCCCTCATTTTCCCTGTCTGAAAAATGGAGATAATAGTAATGTATGCCTCGAAGGGCTGCTGGGAGATCCTATTACATACACCCTTCTAGCTCCTGAGGTCTAGGGAGGACACCCACAGGAGGAATAGGCCTTGCAGCTCATCTTTTTGTTTTTTTTTTAAAGATTTTTATTGGGGAATTGGAACAGCGCTGGGGAATTGGGAGAAGGGGAACAGACAAGTTGCTGTCCTTTTTTTCTTCAGTCTAGTTGTTGAGGATGTTGCTTCACTGGCCCAAGTTGGCACCATCATTGCGCTCTTCCCGGGCGAGGCAGATGAGTCGCCGGCTTCTGGACAGCCGCTCACGCTGGCTGCTGGCTACACACGGTAGCCCATGGCAACCCACTGCAGCAGGGGCTGTAGCCTATGCCGTCGCGGGCAACTCATGGCAGCCCAGCTCCAGGTTGAGCTGTTGTTCAGCATCTTAGCTGTAGAGGGCAGTGTCACTCGCCCTCATATGTGGGATCCAAACCAGGGCCCTCTGGTGTCCCGAGCCAGCTCTTAAGCACCGCACCACTCGGCCGGCCCTGGCAGCTCATCTTTATTGCCTTTTAGACAGACTTGCTTTCAACGGGACCAGCCCAGCACCAGGGACTACAAATTCCAGTTCCAAAAGTCCCAGAAACCCCCACAGGAATCCCTGAGCCTGGGAGCACACAGGGACTCAGGCTTGGATGGTGGGTGAAAAGTGGGGTACACTAAGCTCTGTCCCACAGGTTGGCAGGAAGGGTGAGGGGGGGGACACATGAGCCGTCTGAAGAAGGAGAGATGTGGGGGTATTAGAGTGGGGTGCTGTCTGACGGGGAGGGGCTAGAGAAGATCCCTGGAGGACAAAGGATTCAATCGATGGTGGAAGGCAGCTTGGAGGGGAGGGGTCCCTGTGAGAAGCTGCTTACTGCATTCCTGGTAGGGAGCAAAGAGAGGGCATGAGTTTGAAATACGGGAGCTGAGGTGTCAGAGCTGGTTAAGCAAGCCTCAGGGAGACAGGGGTGCCCCTAGTGGTCCCAGAGACAACAATAAGGCAGAGAAAAAGATCCCAGCAAAGCTTGGAGAGAAGCTTCTGTCATCTGGGGCTGAACTCTGGATTATGCTGAGAATCCATGTGGTATAGACGCTGACGTTGGTATAAACGCCTGGCCTCTTGGGGAGGGCACAGCTATCCCCCCAGCTCACTATCCCAGCCTGGGTCCAGACGCCATCAATGTCACAAACCAAAGGGCCTCCAGAGTCACCCTAGGGAGAAAAAAGGAATCCAGGAGTGTAGGGCCAGCTGCCCTCCTTACCCAGGGGGGAAATTGAGGTTCACAGGGCCCCCCTTAGTCCCACCAACCTCCCTTCAGCACTACTGGCCAGGTCTAGTGGACAGGTCATCCAGGGGGCTTGGATATTTCTGGAAGGCAGCAGGGTTGGCTGGTCTGGGAATTAGGGATGAAATACCTGGCAGGTGGGACAAGCAATGCAATGGGAATACTCTAGTCTCTGAATAAAACTGTGTTTTTCAGAGTAGGGACTCCAAGGAGCACGTCTGTGTTGCTAATGGTGCTGTTTGCTTCATTTTTTATTAAAAAAAGTTTTTTTGACTGAGATAAAAACAATACTAAGAGGCAATGGGAGCTAAAGCGTGCTTTGCCTGTAAGAGCAGACAAGGAAAGACGAGAGCAACCCAGCTCAGAAGTCAGCTGCTCCTTAGGAAAATGTGTTCAAAGACTCCAAGTGTTATTTTCTGGAAAGAAAAAAGAAACTTTTGGCCCCAGGGGAAAAGCTTTAGGGAGAGGGATATGTCCCAGTTTGCTTAAGCACATTTGTAGGAGGTATTCCATGTTTTTACAATATTTATATGATATTTGAAAGGGAAACAAGGTTCAGAAACATTTTTCTTTTTGAATTGACCCTTGTATTTAAAAAAATGTTGCCCTCGTCTGCCTTGAGGCCCCCACTAGAGGTGCTTGCTTACCCCGCAGGCGTCCTTCTGGCCATTCTCAAAGCCGGCGCACAGCATGTCGTCCAGGATGATGGGCTTCTGGCTGGGGATGCCGGAATTCTCATGGTAGAAGGCATCGCAGGTCTGGGTGTCAATGAGGGGCAGTTTTAGCTCCTTCAGGGTGAAGGGTGGAGGGAGTGCTGCGGTGGGGAGCAGAGAGCAGAGCTCAGAGGGTCCGCAGTGGCCTCCTGGCTCTCGGCTGGCTTGCCCACACTTTGATGGACTGATGACAAGAAATCACTTCTGCATGTCGCTCCTCTGCTCCCCAAGGAACAGGGGCCTGCATTTGCGCTCAGGAAACTCTAACCACACCACACCAGGGTGGCAAACTGAGCCTGTGTTTAAAATTCAAAATGCCAGGAAGGCCTGTTCTCTTCCTCCCCAAGGCAAGGTGAAACGTGCAGAGGTGTGGTGGGCTCATCAGCCTGGGCCTTCCTCCCAGTGCAGGGGGTTAGGGGATGGACACAGTGGGGGGCAGGCAAGAGCTGAGACCTGGTTTCAGGGTCTGGGTCTGGCCATGGACTGTGGTCAAGTCACTTCCACCAAATGACCCTACTCTCTTGGCTTTCCAAGGGTCAGGTCTAAAGGGGGTTGAATAGTGCCCCCTCAAAACTTCATGTCCACCTGGAATCTCAGGATGTGAACTTATTTGGAAATAGGGACTGTGTAGGTGCAGTTAGTTAGGATGAGGTTGGACTGGATTAGGGTGAGAGTGTCCTTATAACAGACAGGAAAGGAGAAGACACAGGGCGACACACAGGGAGATGGCCATGTGAAGACAGGCAGAGAGTGGAGTGATGCAGCCACAAGCTGAGGAGCCGTCAGAAGCGGGAAGGAGCAGAGAGGAGCTTCCCCTAGAGCCGCTGGAAGGATGAAGGCCCTACGACACCTTGATTTCAGATTTCTGGCCTCCAGAACTGGGAGAGAATGAATCCCTGTTGTTGTAAGCCAGTTTGTGGTCATTTATTATGGCAGCCCCAAGACACTAATCTGAGGCACTATCACAAACATAATGATGATGATGACGATGACGACGATGAAGATGACAGCAATGATAGTTACCTGGCCCTGCTGGAAGTGCCTGAAATGCATCATCCCAAGTAACCCTCACATTGACCTCTTGAGACCTCTGCTTGCCAGAGATCCACGACCTGGCAAGGCTAGTGGAGGTCACCCAGCCAGAATGAAGCCAGGCAGTTAGGCCCTGACCCAGCCCCATGTGGACAGGAGTGACAGGTGAATTCTGTAAATGCATAGATGGCACAGGTACTAGCCCTTCAGAATGGTTTGGACCCAGGTTGGACCAGCATTCTAGAGCTTTCTGCTGGACCCAGCATTAATCCTTAGGTTATTGGATGCTGGGAAGATGGACTGGGAGCCCAAGGTGGGATCTGGGGTGGCAGGCTGGTCCTGCATTAGCATGGCAGTATTTCAGTGTCTCCCCTGCTGGGGCCATGCCAGTGTATGCAGGCTTCATGCCCAGCCTGAGTGAGGGTAGTAGCAGGTACAGCTGGCCCTAGGGAGGGTGTCAGGACCAGCCTCCAGTGAAGTCACCCCTGTCCCACCCAGCCCCACCACCAGCTCTGGACATCCTTACGTAGATTTGTGTCGATGTTCCCCCAGCCAGTGACCCAGCACCACGTGCCGTGACCCAGCAGGTCTCTAGGTTTGGGGAGGCAGACTGGAAGGATGAGGTCACTGAAGTTGACAGGGGAAGCCAGTTTCACTAGGGCGATGTCTCTGCTGACGGGTTTCTCCATGTAGCCTGGGTGGGTGATGAACTGGGCCACGGCGTGGAGCTTCTGGGGTTCGTCAGGCTTAGGGTAGGAGGAGATGGTACCCAGCAGGACGAAGTAGGCGGACAGAGGCTGGTTCCTGGGGCCAGAAGTCAAGGGGGTTATGAGGCTGTGCCCAGGTTCCATGGGCAGGGGCTAAAGACAATCTTGATTCAAGGGTCTTAACATTATGAAGGGATGCTTTTGCGAGATGAGCATATGCCAGCAATTACAAACACTCTGTTTAATCCACATGCAACCTGGCAAGGTGCTCAGTTCTTCCTCTGTTTAGCAGGAGGTGAAGCCTTCTGTGAAGTCATCTGCCCAGCTGGTGAGCAGTAGACTCGGGACCTTGGTTTCTCAAAGGACATTCTGATGTGGGAGCTTTTGGTTTCTGGGCAATCAATGATTTCTTGGGAGATGGACAATGGGAGAGCTGGCGCTGGGTCTGTTTCTTCCTCTACTCTCTCCCCGGTGCCCAACCCGAGTTAGGGGGGCATCCTGAGTGGATAAGAGAGACCTTAGAAGGACACATCCCCAGGCTGTCTGCTGCCCAAGTGGGCAGAAGGCTCCTGTTCAGGTGGGGAAAGGAGGGTGTTGGGGAGGGGTGAAAGGCAGGTCCCAGCTGGCCGTGACTCACGCTCCCTGCAGATCCTTACCGGTCCAAGCAGTGGGCTGCAGTCAGCACCCAGTCCTCAGTGATCAGCGAGCCCCCACACACATGCAATCCATATTCCCTCAGGCTGACTTGCCATGGCCACTGGCCCGGCTGGGCATCCTGGCCCGAAATGATGCGGCCTGTTACACGTGGGCGTCCACACACTGCGGGGTGAGGCAGTGGGCTGGGTTATACCAGGTCCCCTCTGTGCTCCTCCCCTCACCCTGCAGACCCGCCCTCATTTATATCTGCCCCTCATGGACTGGCATCTTGTCCCCTGTGATGCAGGACCCTCTCCTCTTGGGAGGACTTAGGACACTGGGGGAGGTGCATAGCAGCCAAATTGGGGGAGGTGAGAGCTGGGGGCCTAGATTTCTCAGTCAAGCTTCCTGGGGAGATGGAATGTGGGAGCAGCTGGCTGGGGCTCCTGGGGAAGGTCTGAATGCAACACAGTGAATGCAACACAAAAAGCGCCTGGCAGTGGGGTTTTGGCCAAAGCTGTGAAGGCGCTGAATCTGGGTGAGTGGATGCTGGCCCCCAACATATGGGTTCCTTAGAGGGCCTGCCCACGTACAAGACTATCAGGGGCGGGGCTGGGATTACACTGGGATTATCTGCCCCCCACCAAACCCAGGCTGTCTCTCCTGCAATACCTCTCTCCCCAGTCCTGATATTTGTCCTACCTGAGTCCAGGCTTATCCCTCTGGCATTTGTTAGGGAGACGTTGAATGGGAGAGCTGGGGGGCTTCCCTGAAGGGCTTTCAGGAGGACGGAGAGCAGGATGGTGGTTAGGGCCTGCTCCATGGTGCCTTCTGGCAGCCTTCCGGGCTGGTTCTTGGGGTCAGAGTCTTCAGACACACCCAGTGGGGAGCAGGTGATAGCAGCTCCAGCCCAAGCTTCTGTGTTTACCCTTGGGTGGGACTGACACCTGCATTCCATGTTCTCAGGCCTTTGGCCCTTATACCACTCCTAGGAACAGGGACCCTGGCCTCTTCCACATCCTTGGTAGGACCTTCCCTTCCCTGCCCTGTCCCTGGCATCACAGCACCAAACTTCCTCACCACCTACGGGGTACTTACTGTGTGCTGGCACTCTGCCAAACACGCCGTATACCTCTTGCCTGATTTCCCAGGAGCTATTATGATCCCCATCTTATAGCAGAGGATCCAAGACTCTGATGGTTGAATGATTTGCCCAAAGCCCTACAGGTTGCAAAGCCAGATAAAGCTACTTGGCACCCTGTGCAGTACCCAGTACCTCTGGGAGGGGTTGAGGGGTGGCGAAGCAGAACCTTAGACCCTGGGGTATATGCCACTCTTCCCCCTCAACCATTCATTTTCAAGCTGGTGCTCTCAAGGGCCTAAGGTGCGGCCAGGATGCCTGGTCCTGAGAGGGGATCCATTATTCAAGGAGGTGGAGCAGCTGGAGGAGAAGCGGGATTCTCAACCTGAGGAGATAACACCCCCCTGATATCCTCCTCGAACCACAAATAGCAGGCACCTTGATGTCCATTACCCCTGCCCTGGTCTGCAGCTTTGACCCTGGCCCTCTGGGCCAGGGGCCTTACAAAGGTTGTGTAAATCAGAAAGGGATGTGGGAGACTTCCCCTGATTGCTAAGTTTTTTCCACTCCTCGAAAGAAAAGTGCCCATCCTTCCGATGCGCGCCCCCCCCCATCAACCTAACCTCCAGGCAGCTCCTCCTCCAAGGGGCTCATTACCCCTGAAGGGCACAGTGGGTCTCAGCAGCCCCCAATTCTTGATTTAAGCCAAAATCATGTTCAGTGAATACTCAGGCGTTATTGCTTTTTCTCTCTACCTGATACCTTGCTTTCTGTGAAAAAGTTGTGGATTTATTCCTTACTCGAGTATTTAGAACTTTTTTTTTCTTTTTTTTTTTTTTTTGCTTTATGTATTTCAAAGCTCTGTTGATGGGGGCTTAAAGGCGTGTGCCGCTTACATCTTTTCAGTGGCTTGTAACTTTTATCAATGTAAAATAGTCCTATATTTCATTGGGTTAGCCTTGGGTTATATTTTACGTGAGATTATCTGATATGTGATAGTCCACAGCCACTTTCATATTGTTTACAATTTCTTCACCAATATATTTTTTAAATCAAGACAAAATGAAAAGACATTTAGAAAGAAATTATAAAAAATTAAATTTCTTAGCTTACTTGCCATTATTGGAATATATAATACTTGCTGGGATACTTGTAAAAAAAATAGTAAACTAATTCCATTAACAGTATTATCGATTTTTGTGACTGCAAAAAACGTTTTTTATGATTCATTGATACATTACGGAGATAAAGGCACATCCTACATGCTTGAGATTGTGTTTGAGAACTCCTAGATTATCAGAATTATGAAAGAGCCAGTGGATTTCAACTTTTCTTTTTATTCTTTCTTTCTTTTTTTAAGCTGAGCCATCCTGCCACCTGATGGCAGCTCAGCTCGAGCCGGGAATCAAACCAGTGGCCCTGTTGCTCAGGGCTCGCTCAAGGCTCAGAGCTCGCACTCTTGAGCGAGCCACTCAGCCGGCCTTAACCAGTGCATTTCACAGTAAGTCTGATTTAAAGACATTACAACAGTCCTTACCACCATCATCAATGAGTGTTGCTTAAAACTCAGACCCATTCAATAACACTTTTGGTGCTCACAGGATCAGGTCACCTGCTGAGTGTGATACTGAGGAGGTAAAACATTCACAGCCCAATCGCCATGATCTGAATGTTTGTGTCCCCCCTCCCACTCCATTTATATGTTGAAATCCTAACCCCCAGCATGATGATGTTCAGAGGTGGGGCTTCTGGGAGGTGATTAGGTCATGAGAGCAGAGCCCTCAGAAATGGGACTAGTGCCCTTATAAAAGAGACCCCCAAAGAGCCTCCTCTCCCCTTCTGCCTTATGAGGACACAGCAAGAAGGCAACAGCTCTGAACCAGGAAGAGGGTCATCGTCACCAGGCACTGAATCTGCTGGCACCTTAATCTCAGACTTCCAGCCCAGGAACTGTGGAAAATACATATTTGTGGTTGATAAGCTACCCACTTTGTGGTATTTTTGTTATAGCAGCCCAAATGGACTAGGCCACCCAGCAAAGAATTTGACTTGGAAATGCTTTTCCCATGTTGTGTTTAGTACATTCCCTGTTTCTGCTGATGTTACATTAGGAATATACAAAGTGGAGGAGCTACATCTTTATCCCCAGACTTACACACTCTAGGACAGTCTACACAGCTATAGAACGATACCTGGAGTGCATGGAATCAACATCACGTCTGCTGATGGGGATTCTAGAGCCTGGCCTGGTCTGTGTTTTTTCTCAAGCCTTTATTTTACTTAAAACACTTTTTATTATGGAAATTCAAAAATATACACACAAGCTGAAGAGTATTAAAAAGAAACCTACATCTGTCACTAGGCTTAAACAATTATCAATATAGAAACTATCTTTTTTTTTTTTTAGATTTTTTTTTTATTGGAGAATTGGGGGAGGGGAACAGTGTTGGGGAATTGGGGAAGGGGACCAGCCAAGTTGTTGTTCTTCAGTCTTCGTTGTGGAGGGTGCCAGTCGCCAGCTGGCTTCCCACCAGCAGCTTGTGGCCTCTAAGCTCAAGGTGCTGTGTTCAGTCTTAGTTGCGGGTGGGCGTAGCCACCATCCCATGCGGGAGTCGAACCAGCAACCTTGTTGTTAAGAGTGCACACTATCCACTGAGCCATCCAGGCGGCAGCTCAGCTCAAGGTGCCGAGTTCAGTCTTAGTTGCGGGTGGGCGTAGCTCACCATCAAACAGGCAACCTTGTTGTTACACCAGCTGAGCCATCCTGCTACCTGTTGGCAGCTCAGCAACAGCTCAGCTAGGGCGCAGCATCACTGGTCCATGTGGGAATCAAACTGGCAGCCCTGTTGCTCAGAGCTCGTGCTCTTAAGCCAACTCTTAACCAACTGAGACACTCAGCCGGCCCGGAAGCTATCTTGATCTATCCATGTCTTTACAATTTTCTTTCATGGAATCTGCCCTTTTTAATTTTTGCTCTAGCTTTCAGCTTTCGGCTCGGAGGAGGCCAAGATGCAACTTTCTTTGTTCATCCTGAGCTTGGGTTTATTCAACACCAGCCGCCTCCACCATACGGCCGAAGTTCAGCCCGAAGAGATAAAAGTCATATACCTGAAGTGCACTGTTGGGGAAGTTGGTGCCACATCTGCCCTGGTCCCCAAGATCGGCCCCCTGGGTCTGTCTCCAAAAACGGTTGGTGATGACATCACTAAAGCAACCAGTGATTAGAAGGGTCTGAGGATAACAGTTAAACTGACCATTCAGAACAGACAGGCCCAGATTGAGGTAGTACCTTCTGCCTCTGCCATGATCATCAAAGCCCTCAAAGAACCACCAAGAGGGCCGGCCGAGAGGCACATTGGTTAACAGTTGACTTGGGACGCCAGCTCTGGGCAGCAGGGCCCCGGTTCAGATCCCACATGAGGGCCAGTGACGCTGCGCCCTCTACAGCTAAGATGGTGAACAACAGCTCAACCTGGAGCTGGGCTGCCGTGAGTCGCCAGCGACAGCATAGGCTGCAGCCCCTGCTGCAGTGGGCTGCCGTGAGCTACCATGAGTGGCTGGCAGCCAGCATGAGCAGCAGGAAGCCAGCGTGAGCTGCCGTGAGCCACCGTGAGCGGCCACCCAAGGGCCGGCGAGCGACTGCCTCACCCGGGAAGAGCGCAATGATAATACAAACATGGGCCAGTGAAGTGACGTCCTTCACAACTAGACTGAAGAACAGAAGGACAACAACTTGTCTGTTCCCCTTCACCAATTCCCCAATAAAAATCTTTAAAAATAAAAAAAGAAAGAGATGGAAAGAAGCAAAAAAAATTAAGCACAGTGGGAATATCACTTTTGGTGAGATTGTCAACATTGCTCAACAGATGTGGCACCAACCTTTAGCTAGAGAACTCTCTGCAATTAAAGATCATTTGGCAACCAGTAAAAAAAAATAAAAATAAAATTTTGCTTTAAGTTCTGACATGTTTCTCCACTTTATCTTCAAGTTTGCCAATTCGTTCTTTAGCAATGTCCATTTTATTATTCAGCTCTTCGGCTAAAATGTTTTACTTCAGCAATATTTTGAATTTCCAAACACTCTTACTTATTCTCTGATTGTTTTTTTCCCACATAATTCTTGCTTAATAACACTCCTTGACACTTTCTGAGGACACCAGTTAGAATCTTCCAAGTTGTCTGATAGTCCCTGTATTATCTGCTTTCTCTGGAGTCAGTTCAGTTTATTCAAATAGATCCTTCTGGTGCATGTGTGCATTTTCCTTGAACATTTCTTCATCTTGGTTGCTGTGCAGTAATAGGTTAACTAAACAGGTCTAAGATGTTCAAACCCTGGGGCCAGCCGAGTGGCTCAGTTGGTTAAGAGCCCGAGCTCTGAGCAACAGTGTCGCTGGTACATTCCCCACATGGGCCAGTGAGCTGCGCCTGAGCTGAGCTGCCCTGACCTGTCGACAGGTGGCTGGATCGCTCAGTGGTTAGAGCGTGCCTTCTTAGCAACAAGATTGCTGGTTTGACTCCCGCATGAAATGGTGGGCTACGCACACCCGCAACTAAGATTGAACATGGCACCTTGAGCTGAGTGGCTGCAAGCTGCCAACGAGTGACCAGATGGCGACTGGACTTGGAGCTGAGCTAGCTGCGCTCTCCACAACTAAGACTGAAGGACAACAAGTTGGCTGTTCCCTTTGCCCAAGTCACCAATAAAATCCTTAAAAAACCAACCAACAAACAAAAACAACAAGATGTTCAAACCCTGCACAGTCCAAAGAAAAGATTGATCTTTGACCAACTGCTAGGAAATGACCTCTGAGGTCTTGCAATGTCCTGCCTATAAAAAGTGTTTTGTAGTCCTGGAGCCTTGTGCCATTCCAGATATTATAGTTGATGCCAATAATGTGATTTATAGTGGGGGTTTGGGTCACACTGTGTCAGACGGACCTTTGGAGGGGCTGGAGTCTGAGAACTAAGGTCTGGCACATGGGCACTCCATGCCTATGTGATGGAACCCCAATAAAAACTTCAGACACCGGGCTGGCCGAGTGGAGCGTTGGTTAATAACTGGCTTGGGATGCCAGAGGGCCCTGGTTCGGATCCCACATATGAGGGTCAGTGACACTGCCCTCTACAGCTAAGATGCTGAACAACAGCTCAACCTGGAGCTGGGCTGCTGTGGGTCGCTGGCGACGGCGTGGGCTGCAGTCCCCTGCTGCAGTGGGCTGCCATAAGCTACCGTGTGTAGCCAGCAGCCAGTGTGAGCGGTCAGCAGCCGCCATGAGCGGCCGTCCAGAAGCCGGTGACTGATCTGCCTCACTCGGGAAGAGTGCAATGATGGTGCCAGCTTGGGCCAGTGAAGCGATATCCTCCACAACTAGACTGAAGAACAAAACAACAGCAACTTGTCTGCTCCCCTTCCCCCGATTCCCCAATAAGATCTTTAAAAAAACAAAACAAAACAAAAAAAACTTCAGACACCAAGGCTCAGGTGAGCTTTCCTGGTTGCCCACAAGAAAGGAAAGCTGCCTCCAGGCTCTGTGCAGCTAGGTGGGGTCTATTGCAAGACAGCAGGTAGAGAGGGGGGTTAACAGCAATCTCAGTGGTCAAAATCAGGCCAGGTTTTATTCTACGGGTCCTATACAGGATCATCATTTTTAACAGAGGTCACACAGTGCTAGGCCCCCAGTGGGCACTCAGTGAGGACATAGTGTGCTTTCATGGGAGTCCTGCCTGGGGGCCAGGTCCTCTGTCCTTCCTGGAAGGAGAAGTGGGTAGAAAAGGGGGCAGCAAGGGTCCCAGGGTTGCAGACAAGAAAGGGATTGTTGGGTGCACTAGTTCCTAGACCATGTCAAGGGGTGTGGTTGGGGACCCAGCCCCAAGAGAAGCTCAAAGCTGGGGTGAAGAGGTCCGATGTTCCCCTCAGCCCTTGGACCCAGAGAGGTGGAGGTGGGAGAAGGTGGCCGCCAGGGTTCCCGTTGCTCCCTCTCCCACAGGGAGCGCCTCAGCTGGGCCCTGGAGCCGATGGAGCAGAGGGGACGCCAAGCAGCTGGAGAGGAGGCCATGGGTGCTCAGGTCGGGGTGCTGCTGCTGGTGCAGCTGTTGGTGCAAGTGGAACAACAGATGCAGGGTGACTCAGGACGGAGCTGCCGGCCAACCTAGGGGTGATAGGGGTAGGATGGGGCTCATGGAGACCTGGGAGAGCTCACCTTCTTGAGAGCCTCCCCGCAGAATTGTAGGATGAGGACCTGCTGTTTCCAGGTAACAGGCCCAGGATGCGCGCTTCCCTATGCAGGGCCAGTGTGCAAAAGGTGCCTCATCTTTTCATCTTTTCGCCCCAGGTTTTGAGAACTGATCGTTGCTCGCATGTAACTGATGGGTCCCAGGGGCGAGGGCGAGGGGCAAGCGCCTGCTGACCACGTGGGAAGGGTCCCCAGCGACCCCTTCTCCCTGGATGGCACGACCACTCGCGTGGTTTTCCAGGGAGTCCCTGGTTGGAAATGGCGGGCAGGTGGACCTTTCTCCTGCAGCTCAGCCGTGTGTCCCTATGCCCATCCCTGGCACAAGTGGCCAGGCAATCATCCACCTGCTTGTCGTGGGCAGAAGACTCTCACATGGGCGCTGGCCGTGGCAGGTCAGCCTGCACCTTCCTAAAGGTCATACCTGCAGAGGAAGCCTGCTCAGCTGGTGCTGGGTGCTCTCCACTGCGCACTGCTTGGAGAACTGAATCTGTGGGCTGGGGTTATCGACCCCCTGACCCGCAGCCCTGTAACACTGGAACTTCCCTTCCTCCTTGTCACAATAAGGAAACAGATGCTTCATGAGGTGACAGGACTGCTGGTATCACCCAGCTCACAAGGGCCCAAGTCCAGAGAGCACTTGGCCAGGCCTGGGGTCTGGGCTCTGTGTGGGGCTGGCCAAGCCGGAATTTCTGCACAGAACAATAGTGCTTAGATGCTCCAAGACACCGGTACTGCAAGAAGCCCGTGATTAGCCAAGGGGCCTCTCTGGAGCTTCCTGGCCTGACCACAGGCTCGCCTCCCTGCCCCCCCTCCCCCACTTAGCTGGGCCCAGGCTCCTGCCCCCAATTCTCAGCACCTTGGCCTAAACCAGGTTTCTTTTGAGAAATACAGGTGTCCCTTTCCTGCTACCTCAAAAGAACTGCTCAAAGCATCTTTGTCTGAGACAGGGCAGGTGAAGCCGAAGCCCCGCCCTGGCCTCCTTAATTACCCCCTGGTCCAGGCCCCCGCCCCCTCCTGGTCCTTTAAGCCCCCATGTCCTCCCCAGCCCAGTCAGCAGGAAGGGCACCAGGCTGTGAAGGTGAGAACAGGGTAAAGGGGCTGCCAGGGCGGGCTGGGGAAACTGTCGGGCAATGGAAATAGAGGGTAGGGAAGGGACCGGGCTTCAGGGCTTGCCTGGAGGCCTAGGGTGCCCAAATCTCACAGGGGATGGGGGGCAGAGGTGGTCCCTATGGCCTGGGCAAAGGGAAGCAGATACAGCCTGGGTCATGGGGCTATGTCTGGGACCAACTAGGGGCTGAGGGAAGACAGAAGGGCCTCTGAGGGCTAGTGCCCTGGGCTAGGACCTTCCCCTCCTCTCTGCAGACTCCCACCAGATTCCAAGCCCTGGGCAGTGCCACCCTTAACTGGCCTAGTCTTGAAAACAGAATGAGGGGGACTTTCTGCCTACAGGTCCTGCTCCTACTTCTGCTGGGTGAGTGGGGGTGGGGGGCAGGCACTACAGGGACCTTGGCTACCAGAATGTCTCATCTCACCCCTCTCTGGCCTGGTTCCCCTAGAGCACTCCAGGGCATCTTAATCTTGACTTCAAGGGTTCAAGTTTTCTTTGTCACTGACCTCCAGGTTAGTCTCTCCAAACCTGGATGTGCTCATCTGTGTAATGGGTATAAGTCCCCACTTCACATTGCTCTGGGGAGGGTTAAATCAGGTAACCCGTGGCACAAAAACCTGGCACCAGGTCACTGTGACAAATATGTTCCACCCTCCTTCCTAATCTCTGACCTCCCTCCTCTTCAACCTGTTATCTGACACCAAATCCATAATCCAGTCCCTTCCCTGCTTCCTCCTCTAGGAGCTGCTGGGACGCTGGAGTCTGCAGGTTAGGCAGCCTCAGCGTCCCCGTCCCCATCCCCACCCGCATCCCCAACCCAGGAGCCAACCTCTCCCTGACCTTGGACCTTTGTCTCCCCACCCCCACCTGCTTCCCAGGCCCCCAGTCCTCCGCCCACCCTTGCAGTCCCCCTTGTCCTCTCGCAGCCTGTGGGCAGCCTCGTGTGTCCAGTCGGATCGTGGGGGGCCAGGACGCCCGGGCCGGAGAGTGGCCGTGGCAGGCGAGCATCCAGCACCGCGGGGCGCACGTGTGCGGGGGCTCGCTCATCGCACCGCAGTGGGTGCTGACGGCGGCGCACTGCTTCCCGAGGTCTGCGGGCAAGCCACGAGGTTCGGGCAAGGGGGACACGGTGGTGTTGGGGGAGCAAGGCCCAGGGAACGTGGGGTACCACCTGGCGGAGGCACAAGGACGATGCCGGCTCCAGTGGGACAGCAGGTACTGGGGCTCTACTGGGGGTGGAGGAGGGGCTGCTGTAAGTAGCTCCGCTCCTTTGGCGCAGTGGGGCGCTGCCGACCGAGTACAGCGTGCGCCTCGGGGCGCTGCGCCTGGGTCCTGCCTCGAGGCCCCGCGCTCTGTCGGTGCCTGTGCGGAAGGTGCTGCTGCCCCCGGACTACTTCAAGGACGGGGCCCGCGGCGACCTGGCGCTGCTGAAGCTGCGCCGCCCAGTGCCCCTAAGCGTCCGAGTCCAGCCTGTCTGCCTGCCGGAGCCCGGGGCCCACCTTCCACCCGGTACACCGTGCTGGGTCACTGGCTGGGGCAGCCTCCACCCTGGAGGTGAGGCAGAGGGCGGGGTATGGGGGCATGGGGGGAGGGCCAGGAGTTCCCTTATACCTCCCTCCGACCGGGAATCCCCCGCTGCCTCCATCTGGGACCCAGTGCGTCCTCCAGGCACCCAAACCTCCTCCCAGTCCCAGCAGGTCAGATTATCAGGTGTGGCTTCTCCCACCCACCCCTGCTTACCGCCACACTCTTTCTCATCTCTCTTTCATAAGTCCCCCTTCTTCCCTCAGTGCCACTTCCAGAGTGGCGACCTCTACAGGGAGTAAGGGTGCCATTGTTGGATTCACACACCTGTGACCGCCTCTACCATGTTGGTACCAATGTGCCCCTTGCCGAGCACATAGTCCTACCGGGGAACCTGTGCGCCGGCTATGTCCAGGGCCACAAGGATGCCTGCCAGGTGCGTTAAGGTGCCTGGAACCTCTGGAGTCAAGCTCCTGTGCCCAGCACCCTACCTCCCCAGAACTGGGGATCCAGGCTCAGCGTCCTGGCCCCCAACTCAGATGCACCACCTAGGGGAATGGAGCCTTAGGACTGCCGTAGTCTCCAGAGGGCTGGCACCTAAGCTCACTTTTCTCCTTCAGGGTGACTCCGGGGGACCCCTGACCTGCTTGGAGTCTGGGCGCTGGGTCCTGGTGGGCGTGGTGAGCTGGGGTAAGGGCTGTGCCCTGCCCAACCGTCCAGGTGTCTATACCAATGTGGCCACTTACAGACCCTGGATTCAGGCTTGCCTCAGGCTCTGATGTGGTGACACTGACCTGGAGTCAGACACTGAGGTCCCTCAGTTACCTGGACCGTCTGAGGACCTGCACATCCCACTTCTGACTTGAGGCTCAGAAGCCTGCTAAAGCTAAGGGGTCATCCATTCATCCACCTGTCCACCTCCTGCTTCCTCCTTGGGGCTCACCAAAACCGAGCTGCCATCCCTCACCTAGAAGCCTCCCAGGTGCCGGGATCTCACACTTCTGCCTTTCTGCTCATTTACCCTCCTCAGCTGCCGCCAGGGCTGGGCCTGGCACCCAGAGACAGGCAAGCAAGCTAGGGTCTTGCCCGGCCTGTATGTCCCTCTTTTTCTGATAGAAGACAGGGAGATTCGGGTGCAGGATTCAGCTCCAAGGAGATGGTTCTCTATCACTAGCTTTGAAGATGGGGGGTGGGGGGGTTGTCATGTGGCATGGAACTGCAAGCAGCCGCCAGGAGTGGAGGGCAGCCCTGGCTGACAGCCTTCAGGAAAAGGGAAACATGTTACAACCTCAAGGAACTGAATTCTTCCCCCAGCCTCCAGGTGAGAGCCTGATAGGCTAAGCCCTTGATTTCGGCCTGGTGAGACCTTAGGCAGAGAACCCAGCTGAGCCCACCCAGACTTCTGGCCCAAAGAGCTGTGATTTAATAAATTTGTGTTGTTTTAAGCTGCTATGTTTGTAGTCATTGGTTACAAAACAATAGGAAACAAATCTGTATTTTGCCCCACCACGACAGAGGTGCCTGGGGGCGGGGTGGTCCTCCACCAGGCTCAGGAGTCTGGGCCACCTGGCATAATGCTCTCTACCCAAGAGGGGCCAGGAGCCCCCAGGCAGGCCGGCAGGAGCTTCTGCTGTCCTGGTTTCTGTCATTACCCCACCCATGCCCAGGGTGAGTTTGGGGCTGCGTCCTAGCCCTGTCCAGAACCCCAAGGCCCAGGACCCCCCCACACTTGTATCTGGAGACCAGCCTAGACCCTTCACAGCTCCCTACCCACCTTCATGTGACTGGGACCTGATGTGGCCTCATCCCCAGGCCAAGGATTACCCATCCCTGTAGATATAGTTCAGTTTCTAGAACTGCAGAAGGAACAGAAGGAACAAGAAACTGAAAAAAACCTGGACAATCCAAAGCCTAATCTTTGGAGTTGACAGCAGCAGTGGGTGAAGGGGGAAAGGGAAGGCCATCATTGAAGGCACAATCGGCAGGGCAGGCCCGAGTGCAGCTGTCACCACACAGGCTTAAGCTTTGTCTCCCTCCCTTCTTTTCTCCCAGGGGAGAAAGTAGCTGCACCAGGTGGTCAGTGCTGGGTTGCTGCAGGCCAGGCTGGGCAGCGGGGAGCTCCAGGCTGCTTTTTCCCCCAGGCTGAGGGTCGTCCATCTGGGGTAAAGCTTGGCTGCTCCTTGGGGGACATCAGGGACCAGGGAGTCCAGAACAGGGCATGGTGGCGGCAGGCCAACCTGTAAAAGGCTATGAGCACTTCTGCAGTGAGACCCAGGTGGCCCCTGCTGGGTATTTCTCCCATCCCTCCCCCAGCCTGAGGCCAGCCAAGGCACGCCTCCAAAGGCACTGAGATGGGAACAAGCCAGGGCCTGGGAGCCAGGCTTCCTCAGCCTTGGACCTGCTGTGATTTGACTAATGGGTCCCCATTCAGAGCCCAGTGTTTCTGAAGCACAACTGGGAGGGGTGGGAAGGGAAGGGAAGGCTCAGTGAATGAGAAGAAATCAGCTACTCCTGATTAGGCTCTTACAAGACACTGTACGGAGGGCTCTCCTGCACATCTCATGGGATTCTCCCCTGAGGCTCTGTGAACTAGGTTTTCCCACGTCAGACGAGAAAACTGAGGCCCGAAGTCATGCAGCTGGTAGATGGTAGACTGGGATTTGAACCCAGGTGGTCTTGATTCCAGAGGCAGCTGGGAATGGTTAAACAGGGATTACCCCCTTTGCTTTCCCTACTTCCTCCCACCCCAATAATGTGGCCTCCCAATCCCACTTTTCTCGGCCCATTCCTGGTGTGGCAGTCTTGTGGGGCTGGGCAAGTGGCAGCTCTTCTTGGCCTGGCAGGCTCACTGGCATGGCACCCTATGCTGCTGCATCCTGTTGGTTAGCAAGGTTGGGGAAGGGAAGGGCTGGCCCTGTATCCTGCCCCCGACCTCACCACAGCCACCTGACATGCCAGGCAACAAGCTGGAAACTGTGCCAGGAGGGGAACACCTGGGGTGGCAAGGGTGGTCCTGGGAACTCCTGAGCACAGGAGACCACCCTGTCCAAGGCAGGTAGTTTCCTAGCTGCCTATGTGTTCGGTCGGTGGTGCTACAACCAAATGTTCTAGCCTCTCCCAGGAGTACTGACTTGCCCTCATTTCCCCATCTGTAATCTGAACTGGTAACACCTACCCCCACTGAGGCTGTCGGGAGAGTCAAGTTGACAGCTAAGGCAATCACTGTGTTCTGCCCACTGAGCACGTACACTGTACCAGTCTCAGGCAGGCTCTCAGTTGATCTCAGAAGGCCCATGAGGTGTTCTCATTTCCCATGTCACAGGTGAGAAAACAGGTCCAGAGAGGTTAGGTGACATGCCCTAAGGCCCACAGCAGCTAAGAGGTGGAGCCAGATTTGAACGTGGGCAACAGACTCAAATTCCACTGAGTTATGTCACTTCCCTCATGGACATGAAAGTAATTGCTAAACACTCTACAAATAAGAGGCACACTAAGAATTAGTGGTCACTGATAATTACTACTTATTAATCAATGTTTAAAAAAAATATAGACAGCCAGGGAAGGCCCACCCGGCCAAGACACTACAGACTTAGCGTGGAGGGTCCCTGTCATTATGTGATTGGCGGTCACATAGCCAGAGATTGCAGCTGGGGAAAGCCTTGAGCCACATCCCCCGGCCAATAAGCAACAATGAGCGAATAGAACCATAATCTGCTCATTAGGAGAGATAACAGGGCCCAGGAAGTTTCTAAAGTTGCACATGTGCATTTGTTAAAGGAGCTGTCCTATAATTAACTTTTCCTTATTATCACAGTATAAAAAACGCTCCTCTAGGTGGAGATTTAAGATGCTAATGAGACAAGTGATGCATCAAGTAGCATGTGGGTACTGTGCAAGCACAGTGTAGGATGGGCCTCAACATACTTTGGAGAGGGAAACGGGAAAGAAAAAGAAAGGAGTGGCCCCCAACCTCAAGAGCCTATAAAACTGCTGTACCTGCCACATCCATTCTCTTTCAGAGTGCGCTCCCTTCGTGCATCAAGCTTTCAGTTTAATAAGCCTTTTTCTCTGCAAAACTGTTTCACTCTTGATTTCTATCCTGAGAGGGGCAAGGACCTCTGTGCCAGTGAGTGGTGGGTGGTTGAACCAGAAAGGGTCCAGGAGGCCTTTCTGGGCAGAGAAGCTAGCCAGCCAGCTCTCCCGCCATCTTGAGACTCCCATTCTGTGTGTCATGACACCCAGGAAGGAGGACCTACACCCAGCAAGACCATAGAGACCAGGGCTGAGGCTGGGGAGCATGCCCTTGCTCTCCCCCTCAAACTGCCCCCCATCCCATTCCCACTGTGTCATTACACTGAATGACACAAACGCCTGCAGTCACCTCCTACAACCAACCCACCAAGGGGACCATGGGGGGTGCACAAAGACTCCCCCTCTGAAGGGAAGGACTCACCACCTCTCCCAGGCTGGGCAACCTCAGACAGCAGAGACAACTATAATCAGACACCAGTCATTACCTGAACCTTGGGACTGTGCTGTGCATTAGCTCACTAATACTCCCAAATGCCTTATGGGGTCCCATTGTGTAGTCTCACCTCATGGGTGCAAAAACAGGTGGAGGCTGGCTGCCTCCTTGCCCAAGTTCACAGTTAATAAGCTGGAGTTTGAACTCAGGGGTGGGGACAGGCAGGATCCTCAGAGGGATGGGGTGGAGTGGGCTGCCCCACCCCTCACACCCCCAGGGTGGCTCCTAGTGAACAAGAGTTGGACCAACAGCTGGGCCAGCCCCAGCAAGCCCCAGAATGTCTACATTCTGGTCTGCAATAGTGCCCAGATTCGGGAGGATGTGGCCAGGCTGCAGCTGAGCCCAAACATCATGGGTGGCCCCTCCTGTCCCTGTATCCCTCCCTGGACTCCATCTTCACCTGCCTCATTCTGGGAGATCTGCTGGCTGCCTCTGAGAACCACCTTGGCCCTCACCGCCCACACCCCACTCTCCCTTCCCTCTCCCTCCTCAGCAGCTCAGTATCTAAAGCCTCCAACTCTCTGTACACAAAGATGCTGAGATTAAGAAGGAAACCTTCAGCCTGGGCCAAGGACTCACCGTACCAGTTATGTGTCTACCTCCTCCTGACTCCAGATGTACCCAAAGCAGAGGTCAGCAAGGGGTTGGCATTCTAGCAAGGAGCCAGGGCTGCCTTGAGAGCTCCTAAGGAGCCAGAGGATAGTCAAAAATAACTAGTTAAGAGTTTATGGAACATTTATTGAATGCTAACTCTTGGAGAGGCTCTAAAAATTTTACAAACGGTTATTCTCCCATCTTGAAGAGGAGGAAACTGGGCCTCCGTGAGGTTAATTGCCCAAAGCTGCACAGTCAGCACTGGAGCAAGGACTTGATACCAGCTGGTCTGAGCCCACAGCCTGTGCCGTTAGCCACCTGCAGATTCCGCCCACTCTCAAGAATTCTCAAGTTGCAGCCCCAACAACTGCAAAGCTGTTTGACATCCAGGGCCATCCACTGGCTCGTCTCTCTGGGTGCCATGGCATGCCTTCTCTGACACACACTAGCAATGACCCAGTTGAGGCTCTCCCTCTACCGGGACGTGGTTAAGTGAGAGAAAAGCCTCTATCACTCGCTCTAGCGTAACTGCAATTTGGGGTGACTCAGGACAGTGTCCAACAACCAAGAAGAAAGGCCTAGGCTGTGGGTAGGAATGCCCCGTAAAAAGGCGGCTAGGGGAATCAAGTCTACAGGACCTTTCGGGGCTCAAGTCCACCTAGGCGAGGAGGTGGGCAGGTGCTCAAGGCCCGTGGGGCCAAGGGGCTCCCCTTTGCTCCTCCGCAGCCGAACATCAACTTCAGCCATGCCAGTTGCGTCTTCCCAGGATGCTCACCCGGCCCACTCCCTATCACCAAGAGCAGCTTCCCGAGGTCCTTACAAGTCATAATGCTTCTCTAAACAGGATGAAACAATCCTTACACCCAAGGCTAAGGCAGACAAAAGGTGTCCGTCTTCCCATACGTTGGCCAGAAAGTCCAGAATTTAAAACCTCCTCAAAATGGCCGCCAGGGAGCCTCAGAATCATGAGTCAGACCACTCAATATCGCAGCCCAGGTCTCAGAGATGCAAAACGTCTTGTCTCCCCGATGACCGAGATGCACATCACTTATTCACTCTCCCGGGAATGTCGGGGTATCTTACACTCGCGAAGCTAGTCCCGATACCCTCAAAAGAAGGCTGGGAGCGCGCCTCCCCCTGACTGATGAACATGGGGGACCTCGCCTTCGCCACTCCCAAGATGGCGCCCCTGCTTCCAGCGTCCCTCCTGCGCTCCAGCCCTGCCCGACTCCACCACCTCGGCCACCCTGCCAATCGGCACCGTCCCGCGCCACCGCGCCAACATGGCGGCCGGACGTTCGGCCAGCGCGACGGCTTGCTGATCTTTTAAA